ATCAACGTCCCAGCTTGTCCTAACCTCCCACCCCGCGGATCGGAGCGACACGCTGTCCGCTTGCATGGCGCAGCGTGTCGCCAGCGCCGCCGCCGCGGCTGAGTAAAGAGTCCCGACCCAAGCTCTTACGTTGCAACTTCGGGAGACCTCGCCTGTCCCCCCGAATTGGTACTTCTTTTGTGCCCGGCGCGGTCTCGATACGGACTCGACGCGGATTTGGCGTGGATTCGACGCGGATTCGGCACGGATTCGCAGCGGACCCGACGAGCCCGACACAGATTCGACACAGATTCGACGCGGATAGGGCCGCGACGGGACAAAGGACCCCCGAAGATGCAACAGACAAGCCGCCAAATCATAGTTTTTTTCACAGCGTGGACCCCTGGAGCTATCGTCTTACTCAGGGCTCGTTTCGATTCCTCCGATTCGATTCGATTCGATTCGATTTCGATGGCTTCCGATTCCGATTCGATTCGACTTGAGATTCCGACTTGGGCTCCGATTTCTTATTGGAGGCCTACTAGCCTGCCGATGTCTGCCGATTCGACTTTTCCCGACTCGGCTGCCGATTTCCGCCGATCCGATTCATTTCGATCGCCGATCCGACTTATCGATTCGATTCTGGGCTCTCCTGCTTACTCCCCGGAACGAGCTTTTTATCTCGAGTCGTTTTTGTTGACAGTCTCGGGGCCCAGCGAGGCTTTTGCCGTCTGAAAACAGCAAACACCCGCCAGTCGTGTTTTTATACGACGCGAGGGGGGGGGGGAGTCTTGGGTTTGGGTCGTCCGTTTTTATGCTGATTTTTATTCTCCTAAGAAGGAACAATCCGCCGGGGAGCGCCCGGAGAAGCGGAGCAAGGCCGAGGAAGACCCCGCCGAGGAAGACCCCGCCGGGGAGCCCCCGAAGGAGTCGAGCAAGACGAGCAAGGCCCTCAAGACTGCGGTTTGCACCGCCGCCCGGACCACCGGTGCGAACAGGGAAGGCGTGCCGCAGAAACTGCCCCAGGAGAGGGGGCTGGGACATCTGGGCCGCGGATGAATCACAGAGGGGCGAGGCACCGACACCAGTACACTTGCGTCGTTTTAACCCTTTCGGGCCGCGGGGGGGGGCTTCTCGTCGCCACGGCCGGTTTCGCTTCGAAACTATGGTTGAATTGGGCGTGTCCCTCTACAGGAGGAATATCCAAAATAGTCAACAAATAACATGTTTTGATTATGTTTCGACTATGTTGGAGCATTTTTTGGGGTACTTCTTGTGATGTTTCCTTCAACATCTGCCTGCAGGGGACATTCCCGACCTCAAGCTATGGTCAGAGCGCACCCCCAGAGGGGAGGTCGGGGGGGCCGACGTTCTCTGGCCCCACGGTGGTTGGCTTCGGGGACTCAGCCCCGATCTGCCGCGAGGGCTCCTGACGCGCGGCCCTTGGTCGACCCCCCTCCTCCTCCTCCTTCTCCTCCTCCTCCTCCTCCTCCTCCTCCTTCTCCTCCTCCTCCTCCTGGCACCTGTGCCACTGGGATCCCTCCCCAGGAAAACAGGCGGGTAGCCTCCCGTTCGTCACCCCAGGTGCTCCTTCGGGACCTTGGGGGAGAGAGAACATGTAGTCGTAGGCCGTCCAAGCCTGCGCCACGGGGGAAGGGTCGCGCCTGGGGTTTCGGGGCTGTGCCCGGCTCGTCCTTGAGGCGGGCGGGGGCAGTCCAGGGCTTCAGTGCGCGGCTTTTCCTTCCGTGTTCCGTGCCTGGGTTGTGGGTCTGCCACGTTTTGCTGCGACACCCTTGGATGACCCTCCCAGTGCTCCGCTGGGGCATTGGTGGTGTCGCGGGTCCCCTATGCGGGAGGGGCTCATCGGAGGATCCCCGTCCATTCTTCCCACGTTCACAGTCCCCCGCCGTGGCGTGCGTGGGGGCGGGCTGTCCCCGAGGGAGTGGTGCCCCTCGGGTGGCTGATCGGAACGGCACGCGCGGCGTGTCGTTATGTGAGGCCTCGAAATGTCAGAACGGGCTTGTGGAGTGGTTTGCCGGCTTAGCTGCTGCCTCCTGGCGTGCGTGGCGCGCGCGGCCCGTCTTTCGCCTACGCGCTTGTCGAGCGGTTTTGCGTCGTTGCCCGCTGTCCCCTGGCGCGCGTGTCGGGTACGTCTCTCGCCTTTTCCGCGCGTCTGCCGCGCTTCGCGGCGCTGCTGCCTTTAGTGGCGCGCGTCGCCTTTTGTGCGCTTCGCCGCGGTAAGCCTCCTATGCGAGCTCGCGCCGACCCCGGCCGTGATGGTCCTCGCGGTTGGCCTTGGGCGGCGGGGGCATTGACTCGTCCGCTTCTGGGTTGCCTCACTCACTCACTCCTCCTCCTCCTCCTGTCGAATCCGGATGCTCGGCCTTAGGTCACAATGCACAGCGCGACATGCGCCACCGATCGGCGGAGAGTTGCCAGGGGCCGCTGCTTCCTTCAGGACCCGTCTTCCTTCCTGCTGGCCGCAGCCGTGCCCAGGCCGGAGCTGGAGCTGGCCTGGCGG